CCCCCCCCCCGCACACCCCTCCCGAGTACAGCCCACCTGGTATAAAATACTTACCTTCCTCCCTGTTCCTGACATCTTTACCATGCAGCCCTGTCCGGTGCTGTCCACCCATAGCAAAAAGTACATTCCAGCTGAGTCCTCCCCTGCTGTGTATCAGGGACATGTGGTCAGGTGAGGCAGAGCCTCACCTAAAATTATGGAGCAAAAAGCTGTCAGCTTCAAGTCTGAAGTCAATAAGAGGTACCGCACGTCACTGCTGTGTATGCTCTGCTGTCCCATTCATTCCTATGGATGGGCCGTACTCATGGTGATGCATATGCACAGTAATTGGAGGACCCGGGAAGGATGTTGATGCTGCAAAGGCTGTGCGGTGCTCGGAAGATCGCCGGAATGGGGATGAAGGCAAGTATTATCCCAGGTAGGCTGCACTCAGAGAAGGGGCAGGATGTCTAAAGGGCAACATTGGTAAAGTTGTCCTTTAAAATGTATATGGGTGGCTGCCATTTATGGCCTTCTTCCCGAAAATATTAGTTGCTTGGCTGTTATAACAGTTACAGCATGTTATTCACTATGTGGCCCTATGCGTCTGAGGTGCTAAAACAATTGGTGCTAAGAAGTGTATATGTTTTCCAACTCTGACAATTGGGAGGTATGTCCATATACGAATAGGGATGTCTTGATAAAAAATTTGCAGAGCCATTCATCCAGTGAAACTGCATGTACAATAAATCAATAATCATTAATAGTAATAAAAATATTAACAATAAAAAAAGTTACAAAAACAATGGCCAAAGGTTGGAATGCTATGCGGTCAACCATGCCCATCTGATGCCTGCCTCCTGATCCAGCTACACCAATAGCATTGACATGGAAAATCCATAATAGCCGGTATTACGCACCAAGTGGGTTAATCATTCCCTATGTAAAGGAAGCGATGATGGATTACTTGACAGCTGCGAGGATGAATCATGCTACAAGTATAAGGATATGTGCACGTGCAGTAATTATATATACTAGTCTACCTACATCCCTGTAGGCAAGTGCTGATATCAACAGGTATACCCAGAGCATATGATGCTGGAAGATGATTGTACAAGCGTGTGTGTTGTAAAGTCGTTTTTTTCCTATTTCGTCCATTTGGAAGACCCGGATAAACTTTTAAAGGACCGTTGTACCCCGAAAAAAAATTGCACAGTATATACACCATGTAACAGAGTCGCTAATATTCACAACTAGCAAGCTTCAATATCACTTATAGCAGAACATCAAGCCATATTATCACATCTGACCTTATTAATGTTTTCACCCAAGATTCACACATGTGATTTTAGGGTTCACACCATTTTCTGGACCAGATCTGGTCTGGAAAATGGTGTGAACCTACCAGCAGTTCCAATGCATTCTAGACCAGACAAAATGAGACATGCAGTATTTTTCTGGTCTGGTCTGGAATGGACTGCACTGGTGTGAACAGAGGCCAAAAATAGCATAGGGATACATTAGGATGCATTTTGGGTCTGGAAACAATCTGGTCTGGTCTGGAGGTGATCTGGATGTAGTGTGAATGTGCAATAAAAAGTGTATCTGATGACACAGTAACATATTAGATAAGGTTGAATAAGGACAAGGGTCCATCCAGTGCAACCTTCAGTATGTGTATATAGGTGTGTGATTGTGGATTTGTATTTATTTGACTCTAGCACTGCCCATATTTTTGTATATCAAGTGAAATAAGAAACTCATCGAGAAGTTTCTTATAATTATCAATGCTCTCGGCAGAGACCAACAACTGTGAAAGGGAATTCCACAATTTTACTACTCTCACAGCAAAAAAAAAACCCCTTCTAATTCTAAGATTGAACCCCCTTTCCTCCAACCTCCTGTTGTGCCCCCGTGTTCTCAATACAGTTTTCTGATTGAACAGTTTGTTCTGTATATATTGTGATCCCCATTGATTTTGAAGACTGCAATAAGGTCTCCTCGTAATCGCCTCTTTTCTAAGGTGAATCATTTTAATTGCTAAAGGCAATTCCGCTATTGTTTCGCAATACACCCTCTGTGGGCCACTCCTGCACTTTACAGCCCCTTGTCCTCATAACCTAGGCCTTCTATACCTTCATTTTGTAGCCCTTCGCTGAACTTTTTCCAGCTCGATGACGGCGACCAAAACTGCACCTTATACTCAAGATGAGGCCAAACCAGTGATTTATACAGTGGTTGTATTACACTTTTATCCCTTGCCACAATACCTCTTTTAATGCACGCCTGTATCCGGTTTGCTCTGCTGACTGCTGCTTGGCATTGCTTGCTATTGCCAAATCTGTGATCTATGAGCACCCCCAGGTCTTTTTCCATGGTTGACTTCCCTAATGTAGCACCCCCCAAGTGGTAGTTTGCGCACACGTTCTTTGCTCCCATGTGCATAACCTTACATTTGTCAACATTAAATCGCATTTGCCATCTTGTAGCCCAGGCCTCAATTTTGTTAAGGCAAAATTGAGACAAAATAAGACAACATTTTTTTTTTTTTAGCTTTGGATAGAGTTGGAAAAAGTTAGCAGCCCAGTCAGGCTTTTTAAATTGCTTGTATAGAGTAACGTCCATATGGCGTCAATACATTGAATGCGCCCCCCACACACACACACACACACACACACATACCAACAGAACATTCTCATTTATCCTCCTGCCACCCCCAGACACAGTGTTCATCATCTGGAAGCAAAGGAAACACTTGGTATGTCCACGTATGGAGGAGCATGTGACCTTTGTGACAGCACTGGGCCAATCACCAAGTACCAGTACTGTCACACTGGGAGATCCCATAGCGTTATGTAAATTTCTCCTGCCGGGGTTAAACGGTAGCAACAGGGAATGCAGGAAAGATGAGTTTGTGCTGCTAATGAGGATGAGGATTATACTGAATCCGTCATGTTTTAAAAAACTGTGGCCAAAAGTCTTCTGCAATTGAAGAGCTATTTTACTTACCTCTCTGGGTGCCTGTGACTCCTACCTCCTCTGTAGTTCTGTAGTGATGTATGGATAGGGGATAGAACCACAGCATGGAGATTGGTGGGGGACACAGGCATCCAACACTTCCAGATGTGTCAATGCCAAGGAGAACAGCGGAGACTACAGTGCTGGAACGGGTCACATGTAGAAGACCCCGGGCCACTGGAGAGGTTTTCAGGTCCATTTTTTTAAAGTAGCACAAGATTGCTTAAAATTGTTCCCATTGCAATGTTCTACATAGCAAACCCACACATTTACTTAAAGAATAAGTGCACATTTAGAAAAAGTGCACCTATTCTTTTTGCCCCCCTCCCCTGACCTAAATGATCCCCCCAACTTTGTGCAGACCTGAGGTCTGCTTCACTGTTTGTTGACATCCAGTGCTGCACATTTTCTTCTTCTGGCCGCGTCCATCTCTCGACTGGTATGCAGCCCAATAGACAATAGAGGTTTATGGGGCTGTAAAGTGCAGGTGTGGCCCACAGAGGGAGTATTGCAGAACAATAGTGCAACCGTGTCTGTCGGATCTCAATAACTACAGCCCAGCGGAGGGTTAGATCATTTAGGTCAGGGGTGGGGTGAGAAAAGGATAAGTGCACTTAGTTTTAATTGCACTTATCCTTTAAATAACACTAGCAGGTCTACAGTATTCACAAAAGAGTGAAGAGTTTGGAGAAGGCAGGAGAAGTGAACAATCGAGGCCAACATAGCTGTACTGGAAAGTGAGCTGAATTGGAGATTTTTTCCTAATCAGCTATATTTTCCTAGATTGTTCACTTCTCCTGTCTTCTCCAAACCCTTCACCATTTTGTGAATAACCCTTTTGAAGTCAGTGGGAGATGTTCTCTGTCAGTGCCCATCCTTACCCTTCATCATTATAACTGAATACCGAACCTTTGTATGAAAACTGCTCAGCTATGACATTCTAAGGGCCTGTGTCAATGGACTTTGGGCTTGGGTCGATAGCATTGGTTTAAAATCAGTTTGAGACACTTTTGAGCTCATTCAGAATTCATTGACACGCGCAGGTCCTTCTGACCAACATTTAACCTCCTTCTTCAAGAGGATTTTGCATTCCCATAGACTTGCATTGGAATGGAAAGCCTCCCTGATGTGAACAAAAGCCCATCAACACAAGTTTCTATATTTAATTTTTAGTCATGGGAGAGTTACGGGTTCTATTTATAGTCAGCCTTCCCAAATTAATCTCAATAGCACAAGATTTCATGTAATTTCCTGCAAGCCAAGATAAATAAATAAATGGGCCTTTTGGAATAGATAATTTGCGGCATCTCTCGTCCTTGTCAAAACACACAGCGATGTAATTGGCAAGGAATGCAATCTATCTAGAATTTGCATGACAGCAGGCTATGATTGTGTGATAGCTATAGGCAGGCCTCCACTTCTCAGGAAGATACAGGAAAGAGTGCAATGGGGAAAACCCCAAGTTCCTGGTTGCAACACCACAGCATTTTCCTGTACTTGCCAGTTCCCAGATGGGAGTGGGGCCTGAAACAGTTGGGAGTTCCCTTTCTGAGCAACTGACTTCTGATTGGACAAATAATTTGAGCTGTGAGAAGATAAAGAGGAGCCATCATTATTTTTCTTCAGTAGAACACATTGGATTTTGGCAGCATGCCGCAGCAGATGACCGGGAATGACCGCCACCCATTGGAGGCCAAGGCCATGGGGGTTTTGCAGCATGGAAGACTCAAGGTAGTTTTGAAGATGTATTTAAAAAAACAAATACTGAAGAACACTTGTTACCAACACGCAACAGAGGCAGCCGCATGCTTGGTGGATCAGCCTGTTGATACATCAAGAGCTTTTGACATCCCTGAGAGGTCTCAAGCCTCCTCAAAGTCAATAGTTGTTGGTGAATTGAAGGGCTATATTTTTTATTATAACCTGATGGCCTCTTGCAGTGGTTGGGTATAGCGTTGGGTCTGATAATGAGTGACAATTGGTGCAATTCTGTTAAGGGTAAACTCCAGCTGGTTTGGATTGGGACTCAAGAGAACCTTAAGGCACCGCCGAAAGAGACACTTTGTTGAACAGACCACTTGCTGGAAACCTTCTGCCATCACGGAGGCAAATACATTGTCCTACTTGCACTAAAAAAAACTACAGCTGATATTTGAATGGTTCCCGTGGAGTGAACGCTTTTTTTTCTGTATTTTTATAAATAAGGCCCAGAAAGGGATCCAAGGCGACCCCATTGAGGCTCCACCAATAGGCCATTCATGATGGGTTATGTACTGCAATGTAAACCTGGAGGAGACTGTTAACTAATGAAGTGGCTGAATCACTAGTAACATTTTGCTTTATTTTTTGACAGATTAACATATTTTCAATCCTGTGGTCTGACCACAACGATATACTGATATATCGAAAGTATGAAGATTTCAAAAAGTTGAATGTAAGTTTGTAATGATAAAATTAAGATCACTTTCTTTTGGCCCATCTTTGCCTATACTGCCCTGCTGCTGTTCATGCTTTACTCCATAGAAGTAATAGTGTGTGATATAACGAGCCTTAACGTAGATCTAACACCAATCACTAAATTTCATATAATTTGACATGTTAATATAATTTTAAAAGTCATTTTTATTCTTTATAAATCTGCATTTAAATATTAACTGGCCGTCCTGCCATGAGCGCCCTTGATCAAGCACTTCTGTAATGGGGTGACAACACTCCCTGCGTTGTCATCCTGGCAGTGGATATTGTTTCAATGCTCAATCCACTGTTGTCATCATCAGGCAACATTCCCTGACAAATTAAATGCAGCCATTGCTGGAGTGCATGTAGCTAGAAAGTAGCTGCAAACATTCTGCAGAAGATCAGCAGCACTGACATGTAAAGGGTGAGAAATTAGCTGAAAATTGCATTTTGTTAAAGGAAAAACCATGGCCATTGTTTATGGCTCACAGTGCTTTAGCAAATTAAATGTCATTCACTTGGGGATTACATCTACTACTAGTTGTATGCAGTATATCCCTCCATTGTATTAGGTAGTACCTGTGCCGTATATACCGGCAGCATTGAATGAATAGTTGGCTACGGCCACAAAAAAGGGAATGATTTTCATGGCTTCATCCACACCAATAAGGGGAAAACACCAACTTTTTTTAGAATTTGTAATGGGAATCATCATATGTAGCTCATGTAGGGCTATAAGTGTGCTAGATAGAAGTGTCCTGCCTATAGATACCGATAACTGTTTCTTCTAAGGTTCATGGTATAAAAATGAAAAATAAAAATTCTTATTGTTTGTTCTAAGCAGTTGTTTAGTACATAATCCCCCTTTCTATTGTAGGCTGGTAACGCTTTATGGATACATACAGTATATGTTTGCATGGTTCTGCCTGTCTATCTGCTGATCTAACTGCGTATATTTCTTTGTATCCTAACAGAGGGAGCTGAGAAAGAAATTCCCTCTTGAATCTGGGCTGTTACGGAAATCAGACAATATGATCCCAAAACTAAAAGGTGAGACACCCCCCCCCCCCCCACCCCCCCCTGTGCGCTTGCCAGAGTTCCCCCCCCCCCCCCCCCCCCGCCCCAACACATACTGCTAGATTCCCCTCTGATCACTTGGCACTGGGAATGCTTGTATTGAATGCCCTCCTTCTATAAATATAACCATAGACAGTATCCTTTGTGTGATCTAAACACTTCTGTTTATGACTGAGTGCCCACTACAGCATTGGGCTAAAGGCATGGTATCCATGCGCGTAGCACACACTATCGCATAGTACAATGCTCCGCACGCTGGTCGAGCTGTTGTGCTGCCATTTATTGTGAATGGCATCCCAATGTACCTCCTGACAGGGGTGAGTTGCTCTGTGCTGCATTGCAATAGCCTTCATTGCATTGCTGCGTGGTGAAACAAAGTACTGAATGCCATCATTCTAAATGGTACCTCAACGCACCTCTTGGCAGGCATGTGTTGGCACCGCAATAGTACCACATTCAGGACCGGATTTCCCACAAGGCCAACCAAGGCCTGGCCTCAGGGCAGCAGGGAGTAGAGGGGCAGCTGGCGTGTGGAATTCCTATCTCCCGATGCCCTGAACATGCAGTTCCGGGTGCCATGTGGGTAGTTGTTTTCTACATTTAGCCCTGCTTTGGGCAAGCAGAGCTAAATATCACTTGTATGCAGCCTGGGGGGGGGGGGGGGGGGGGGGGGGGGGGGGGGGGGA